ATCAACAAAAGAACAAATATCACCCATATGTTAAAACAAGGGTATACCGGTATAGCAGCTATTCTATAGCTTCAGTTAACCACTTACAAGCACTATCATTATAAAAAATGCACACATTTCAATCATTTTCAAATTAAAGCTCACGATTCACCAATTTCGTAAAAACCTTGAACTGCTACATTTGCCGGTGACACAAAAGAGGACATGTTGGATAACGTATATTATTTTCAGGAACAATGCATGCTGCCATCATGTCTCCATGGTTACCTACAGATCAGTCCAAAGGCTTGATGCCAGTTGTGTGAAGTTTTTGATCATATTGTTGCTTTCAGCAATTTTACAACATCAGTCCTCACAATAATGAACATCATATTAGGCTTGTTATTGCCTGTTTTGGATGGAAAGTTATCTAACAATCATCGGGATGGTCATTTGAAGAGATCAGGTAGGTTTTGTACAACTGCCAGATGGAAAAGACCAACAAAAATGTAAATTCTATAACATAAAAAAACAATGCATTCTAATCAATGACGAACTGATCCTTCAAGGAATGGAAATCTGTAACAAATTATGTGATCGTGGAGCATTCAACAATTGGCACTAATCATGTTTTTGTTTGTTGAATATTTCTACTGTGGGACCATGAAATGTGTACAGGTGAGTCTAGACTAGACAAACCGGTGATTGATATAAAAAACAATGATCCGTCTTTTGGGGTCACTGTGACACACGATCAACAAGTCATTGATTCAGAGCACATATTCCAACCTGGATTCCCCATGAGTATGAAATAAATGTATTCTTGAACAGAGGGGATGTTTCAAGAATCTGATAAGTTCATAAATGAAGTATTACATTATCAACAAATAGAAGTCTGAAATCAATTCGGCTTATGTTTGCAACATAATTGAAAATATCCAGGACATTTTGATGATGACATATTTTGTGCTATGGTCCCCAGCTGCCAGAATGAATAATGTCAAGATGGTAATCACACGATGGGCAATGAAGAAAACGTGGTAAACAAACACAGCTTCATGTGGCTCTACAACACACAAAAGCCAAACAACTAAATATACTAAGTAAAATATGTTAAGGATCACCCGATTCTTACTTATTACTATAGTTCACCTGTTACGAGTAGGCGAGTATGCTTTTACACTGCTTTCTGCAATATCCAGCAATATCACGGCAGGGGGACACCAGAAATGGGCTTCACACACTGTACATTGTTTGGAATTGAACCCAGGTCTTTGGCGTGAAGAGTTACTGCAATGTCCATTTGGCATAATTTATGTTATGACCTGACAGAGTAGTTAAGAGTGAACGGTTAAATGGTTTCAATTAGTGCTGGGATGGGTGGATAATGATTTGGACCCGGGTACCCGTCTCAATACCCCGGACCCGTTATGATCATGTGACTAATAGATTAAACAATGTAATATGTAATTCTTTCATGTCTAAAAGGTTGTGTATCGTCTTGAAGATTTAGACATAATTTACAGTCACTTCTTTTGAATGTAAGACATGGTTAAGATATTGAAAAACTCGAAATTTTAGCTTCCGAGCTGAAGAATATATTGCCATTTCTTGCAAATTTGATGTCAGGAATTAACGTAACAGGTATCCGGGTAGGGTAACAGAGGCTGGGGTACCCGGGTACAAAATTTGGACCTCTCCCAGCCTTAGTTGTAACACTTCTGAGAACAGTATTCCAGGTTACATCACTGAGTGCTACCAGTGGCAGGAAAGCTGGAAGAGAGAGAGGACTCAGACCTCTACCACTTTGGTGAAAAGCAGCAGACCAGGAATAACCATTGAAGTGAAAGAAGCTGGTGACCCTTAACCTCTTTTGAGTAGTATAATAACATAATCATAAAACATACATACATTCAGGTTAAAAAAAACATGGACAGTTAAAACAATATATACATCAAGAACACTTTAACAAAATAAAGAAATCAAACTTCAGTGTTATGCAAAGGACACGTTTTCTCTTTAGAATCACCAGTTTAATTCACTAAACCGACAACTGAACTCCCAAATCACAACTGATCCAACAGTTTATTGACCAGGGCCTCCTTTCACAAAGCACTAAGGTGATCGTAAGTCACTAAGGTAACCTTAGTGCAATGGTAAAGAATGGGAGTTAAGGTTAACCTTAGTACAGGTTGCTTTGTGAAAGGAGACGCATATGGTTGAGCTTTGGGGGAGACATAAGTAAGGTTATTTCAAGGTGTTTTTGACAGACGCCATCATCTGGAACGCCATATTTCCATCTGTTTCTTCTGGTAAACAATTGACTTGTCTTTGCATGTATTTGGGATGGGAACCACCAGAGGTGTTCACTATTTCACCAACACATTCTATCATCAGCATTTGACAGTTATTCAACACATGCTCATAATAAAGTTGGAATCATATAATTAACTTTAAATGATTATGCACATGCTCTTATCGTGTTTATTTATGAATACAAGGAATATATTGGATTCAAACCAGTAAAGTGAGGGACTCATTTCTCCTTGACAGGATGCTTGGCACAGTTCAGCATATTTCAACCCTGTGGCCCTCCACACCTGGGCCTAGATTTTCGAAGCTCTCTTAGCGCTAAGATAGTCGTAAGTTAATGTTAATGTATGGCAATTACGACTATCTTAGTGCTAAGAGAGCTTCGAAAATCTAGGCCCTGGCTTCTACATGCAATATAGCAAGATACATAGGACAATAGACATGGCAATGAACAACGGTGGGCTAAACTCTCACCTGCAATAATGCAGCTACATTTCCAGCCATAAAATAATTACTCTACATAGTATAGCAATACTAATCAACTAGCACATCTTACTGGCAAAACAATATACATATAACAATACAATGCACGTGGAAATCATGGTAAAAACTTTCACAAAAAGCAAGGCTAAATATCGGTATGATCCTCTGGGTGAGGAGATTTAAATGTCAACACACATTCATTTACTGCGGTAATGTCATGCCCTTTCAGCATGCCCTCGGTGGTAAGAATCCTACTTAAATGGCAACATTACCATGCTCATCATCAACATCATCATACTGGACTTTCTATAATAGTTTTGAAATATCACCAAACCAATTATTCAATCAAAGCAAAATTAATTCAGACACCTTAAACTGTAGGTCAGAAAACCATTATTAAGTTTCAGAGTTACCATGTTATTAACCATTAGTGACATAAAAAATTCTCATCATTGCCACATCAAAGTTTTTCACAAATAATAAATTTAGTTATTATCTGAAACAAAAGTGACATGATATTAATACATAATAATGTGTCCATTTATATAGGCATGCGTGCTGGATAGGTATGCTCATAGCTAACAATCAAGGCACAGCACATTTTACCCCAGATAACCCAAGCTGCCTGTTAGGTGTAAGGTTATAGTCATATACCCATTTTCCTGCTGGGTGAACAGAGACAATTTTGAACAAACTCACTTGCCTAAGGTTGGACCACATGTGTCACATGTGCCCGTTGTGGGACAGGACTCAAGTCCTAGAAACTCTCAGGGGCTGCCAAACACGGTAAAGACCCAAAGATATTGGGTAAAGACATAGTCCAACCAGCTGTGAATTGATACCTCATAAGGGTGGGAAAGCCACATTAACTTGGTGCGCCTTGTGGCTGCAAGACTTGTATGATCCCCAGAGATTTGAGATTAATCATACAATCCAATGATCAAGGAAAAACAACTTGTGAAGCACCTTAGAGTGATCTAGAAGTAGTTCAAATAGGGTGCTATAGAAACGTGGCATATGATACTAATATTGGTCCGGTTACAGAAATCGATTTCGGATAAAGTGAGTAATTTTACAACGCTGTGAATTTGTTTTGAGGATTTTCGATCGGAAGGCGATTTTTCCGGATATCTGAGGTTCGGATAAACGGGGCACGACTGTATTTTGGTGTAGAGTCTATGATCCACTCTGCCATTACACAATAACATCTCTCAATACAGAAGTGGAGGAAAATGAATCAGGTCTGGCTTCAGAGAGGTTTCATGCCAAGGACTCCACTCCACTGCCTTAGAGCAGGGACAGTAAGGTCTCATGGACAGTCTCAGTGAAACAGGTCATACAAACAGAGCTTTGAAAAATTGAGTAACTACTACTTAGGGACATTTTGGCAAAATTAACAAAGACATAGCCTAATACAACTGTAATTGAAGAATATATGCTGCATGAAAAATATTTTTTAGTATTTTGTGGAAACTTTGTTGGTTACTTTTTAAGCCTCAAATGAGCAATTAACAACAGTAACACTGATCAGGAAGTTATGTGAGGGAGTGAGTGAGTTTAGTTTTACACCGCTTTTAGCACTATTCCAGCAATATCACGACATTGGACACAAGAAATGGGCTTCACACATTGTACAAATGTGGGGAATCGAACCTGGGTCTTTGGCTTGCCGACCGAATTACACATGATCACCATCACATAAGGCACTATTAACACAGTGCAGGCCAGCATGGACAACAGTGGCCTGGCAACTGCCTCACCTTGATTGCATGTACACAGTCTGATAGAGGTGGGATACAAGGGTGAGTGAGTGAGTGAGTTAATTATGTCCACATGTATGTCATCATGAATAATGGCATCATGGATGTCAGGATATACTAAGTATGTAATTATGAATAATGTCCACATGTAGGTCATCATGGAAAAATGTCCACATGTAGGTCATCATGAAAAATATTCACATGTAGGTCATCATGAAAAATATTCACATGTAGGTCATCATGAATAATGTCCACATGTAGGTCATCATGAAAAATATTCACATGTAGGTCATCATGAAAAATATCCACATGTAGGTCATCATGAAAAATGTCCACATGTAGGTCATCATGAAAAATATTCACATGTGGGTCATCATGAACAATGTCCACATATAGGTCATCACAAATAAAATCCACATGTAGGTCATCATGAAAAATGTCCACATGAAGGTTATCATGGAAAAATGTTCACACGTAGGTCATCATGAAAAATATTCACATGTAGGTCATCATGAATAATGTCCACATGTAGGTCATCATGAACAATGTCCACATATAGGTCATCACAAATAAAATCCACATGTAGGTCATCATGAATAATGTCCACACATAGGTCATCACAAATGATATCAACATAAAGGTCATCATGAATAATGTCTACATATAGGTCATCACAAATGATGTCAACATAAAGGTCATCATGAATAATCCACATAAAGGTCATCCCTACATATAGGTCATCACAAATGATGTCAACATAAAGGTCATCATGAATAATAAATAAAGTCCACATAAAGGTCATCATGAATAATGTCCACATAAGTCATCACAAATGATGTCAACATAAAGGTCATCATGAATAATGTCCACATATAAGTCATCACAAATGATGTCCACATAAAGGTCATCATGAATAATGCCCCCATAAAGGTCATCACAAATAATGTCCAAAAATAGGTCATCATGAATAATGTCACCATAAAGGTCATCATGAATAAAGTCCACATATAGGTCATCATGAATAATGTCCACACAGGTCAATGAAACCTCCATGCATTATGCCCATATATATCCCATCAATGATTACAGATCAATAGGTAATTAACAACTAATGTTATAAACTGACCATCATCAATAATTGCCACATACAGGTCATCAATGGATGATGTCCAGATGAAGATCATTAATAATGTCCATTTGAATTTCATCAATGACTGAAGGTTCTCATGAAAAAATTGAACAAAATATGTCCACATTAACTGATGATTATTTGTGTAGCATAAATGACTTGTCACATAAAGATGAAGGTCAGTAATGTCAGTAGGTGGGCCATGCGCATCTGTTGGTCATAATCATCTGAAGGTCATCAGGGGAAGCTTAAAACATTTATACTATTTACTAAGGCACTGAGCTGATGGATGCTACAACCTGATACATTTCCAAATAACTACATTTTTCATCCATCTTAAAAGTCTGTAATTCCGTTAAATCAACAAAAGATTAAACTCTCAAAAGCACCATTAAATCATCCTTTTTACATTATGCTAATACACTTACTCCCACACTTTAAATCATGACTGAAAATGTTTCCATCACACTCTCTAAAACTACAAGATTGTCTGAACCTGCAGCAGTGCAGTGAGACTTTGTTCACTCAGAAGACCTTAAAACATTGAAAGCAATATCAGTTATTATGAAAATACGGGGAGGGTGCCAGATTTGAACTGCTCCTTCAGCCCTTTCCATGTGTCCCGGTCAGCCCATCCCTGTATATCAGCAACAATAGTCTGAGAACTATGAATGCACAATTGTGGTAGCGATTTGGTGCCTGAGGGTATGGGTTTGAATCCTGGATAGGACTCAACCCCACAAGGTTCTAGATCATGTAGTTTACTAAAGACAGTGTAATCCAAAATATAACATAAGTTACATTTTATCACTTTCTAAATGTAATCATGTTTTCATAGCTTTCGTCTATGGGAGCCTTGCCAATTTACATATGGTTGAGGGGAACACAGAGTGATCTTGACTACCAGTTGTCACATTTCTCTTTTTGTGGAAGATGTGGTGGCTAAGGGGGTTAGATCGCTGACTTGGTGTTCTAGAGATTAGGTGCCTTACTCTGTGGGTCTGAATCTTAGATGGGACTCAAAGTCCCAAAACGTTCAAGAGTCTATACTTTACTAAGGACAGTGTAATCCCAAATATAACATGTTAAATACTGCCAACATATCCTCAGAACCATGGCCTCATTCTACAAAGCTATCTGAGCACTATGATTATTATGACAGACCTACAGCAAATGACCTACTGCAAATACTGAGAACATATCCTCAGAACCATGGCCTCGTTCTACAAAGTCATCTCAGCACTATGATGATCATGACAGACCTACTGCAAATGACCTACTGCAAATACTGAGAACGTATCCTCAGAACCATGGCCTCTTTCCACAAAGTCATCTCAGCACTATGATGATCATGACAGACCTACAGCAAATAAAGCCACAAAATTACCCTTAAACCTTCCCTACAATCAGATTAAATTGTTTCAACATGTACTACACCTTCTTATCAGCAATCAGTAGAAACACCTTTCCCCCCATCATTCTTTGGGCGATACATAACAGAACACAAAACCTCTTGTTCAACCTTATGGAGGTTTAAGGCTGGGTGTGGTATGGAGAACAGTGAAGACATAAATTTCCTTGTTGTGTTAAGGCATTGCTGGGGCTAACACTGATCTTCATGCAAGGCCTATAAGACCAACATAAGTATTATCTGCTAGTCATGCCTAGATTGGGCAACATGGACAATTATCTATTTGTAATGCCTAGATAAGGAAACATGCACACACTACTATCTACTTAATTCTAATGCTTAGATAGGGTTACAAACACATTTGTCTATTCATACAGCGAGATAGGCCAAAAGACACACACTATTTTCTACTTTTAATGCATATATAGGGCAAAACACACATTATCTACTTGTAATGCTAGATAGGTCAACATACACAATTATCCCCCTCTAAGGCCTAGTCAGGGAGATATGAACCATTAACCCCTTGTGGGGCCAGGTTAGGGCAAAGTAAAGGTGAACACAACCTCTTGTACAACACACAAAGCAGTAGGTGAACAATGCATTAAATGTGTATCTAAGGCACGAAATGCAACAAGTTTGAGGCAACAGAAACAGGTGAAGGTTTACAATGGAACGTCTTTGGTATTAGTTGATAATCCAAACCTGATGATGTCTCAGCTAGATGAGTGTAGACACTCATGATATATATACATGTAGGACCAAAGCTGTCATGTTATTTGCCATCTTACGGAATTTTACGGAGTGTTTTAGAGTACATGTATGGCACTATGATGAACTATATGGCACCTTGCAGACAAACATGGGCATGTTCTTCCACAAAGCCCTTTAAGAAAGGTTCAAGACTATACATTGATATCAGCCATATTGCAGTGTTCGCGATAACGCAAAAACCTGCGTGTTTCAGGCACAATAATTTCTGCACGCAAAGCATTTTGTGTTCTTAACCACATTTTGCCCAAGGAAACAACAAAATAAAGCAAAGTTTCTCCTTGCTAATTTGACTTGCGATTGATGACAACATGCTCTAAAATGCAAGGAAATGATGTCTAAATTTCAAAATTTTACAGGGGGCACCTGCAGTGCATGCACACGCAAGACTCTTGGGGCTGGGCATTTTAGGAACACAGAGCTTTTTTTCCTTCTGCACACACTGATATTGACAGCCTTTTACCTTTCATTCTCTTGCATTAAAACAGACAATGCCTTTGTCTGTCTTCATCAGCATCTTCATCTTTGCCTTCTTCATCAGAGAGACAAGGTTATCTAATTCTGCTCCTTTGTGTAAGGCTTTGTTTATACACAGTGTTACACTTCTTATATTCTTGTCTGAATTAAATGCTGAAGCTTGATTTTAACTAGGAAACAGATTGGCAAGTCCTCACAAAACTGTCTAAATACAGTGCTTTCTCAAATACCATCACACTAGCATCTGTATAACAATGCCCACAGAGAACTTGGAAGATGGTCTCCAAATGTGCAAGTTCATTGCATAGCACAATGTAATTGATTCATGGTGCATATAGTATTGCATAGTATGGCATTAATGCTAGACAGTGCTTGCTTTGGATGACTGGGGTTTAGTCATTGTTGGTGAACTTACATGTTGTACCTTGTTGTATATGGTCATCCCATGTTGTACACGAATGTAATAAGGTCATCCCATGTTGTACACGAATGTAATAAGGTCATCCCATGTTGTACCTTGTACAAGGTCATCTCGTGTTGTTCATGAACGTAACAAGGTCATCCCATGTATCCAGATTTAACAGGTCATCTCATGTTGTACACGAATGTAATAAGGTCATCTCATGTTGTACCTTGTACAAGGTCATCTCGTGTTGTATCCAGATTTAACAAGGTCATCTCATGTTGTACCTTGTACAAGGTCATCTCATATTGTTCATGAATGTAACAAGGTCATCCAATGTTGTATCCAGATTTAACAAGGTCATCTCATGTTGTACCTTGTACGTAACAAGGTCATCCCATGTTGTATCCAGATTTAACAAGGTCATCTCATGTTGTACCTTGTACAAGGTCATCTCATATTGTTCATGAACGTAACAAGGTCATCCCATGTTGTATCCAGATTTAACAAGGTCATCTCATGTTGTACCTTGTACAAGGTCATCTCATGTTGTTCATGAACGTAAAAAGGTCATCCCATGTTGTATCCAGATTTAACAAGGTCATTTCATGTTGTACCCAAATGTACAAGGTCATCTCATGTTGTACACACATGTACAAGGTCATCTCATGTTGTACCCAAATATAACAAGGTCATCTCTGTGTTGTTCATGAGCGTAACAAGGTCATCCCATGTTGTACCCAGATGTACAAGGTCATCTCACATTGTACCTGGCTGTAACAAGGTGTTGGCACATCAACATCAAGTGTCAATACTCAACAGACATGCGTAAACTACCATATACCTCCATCACAAGAAAATACATGTACATGGTTGACTTTTGCTGTGATTGCTAAACCTATTCACTAATCAAGAAATGGACTTCTTCCATTGGGAGGGCAACCAGCAAATGTTCAGACCAATGAGCTCACATTTTACATCATTCTAACAACAACATTGCTCTTCATTATGTGCTATATCCTTCAAACCATCTACTGGCAAACAAGGATAAGTTGGACCGGCGCAGAGAACATGTTTACGAGAAGTAGGCAGTGCATGGCCATGAGCCAACCCATTTGGTTTGTGAAAGGTAGAGCAGATGTAGGCTAGTGCATGTGCATTACATGTCGATGAAATTGATTCCGCGCGTAGCTGCACACGCCTTGCTCATTAGACTCTCACGTCGGCGTAACAAGTCACACTACACTTGATCGCGGACAACCTGGGGCCCTTTCGCTAACAATGGCAAGTGCCAGTTGACTGCACTCATACATGCTAATACGGATCAATTGTCAGGTCAGTGCTCAACTTATCCTTGTTTGCCAGTAACTGCTCGGTATACGGGAATGGTAACATTCACACACACACTTATGCAACAGAATGGGACTCAGTTGACTTTTGTGATTTGCACATACCCTTTTTAAGTTCTGACAAATAACAGACACAGCATTGTCTGTATACCGCGGAGATGTATACAAACCTGTTGAGTACTTATCACACAAATCCATAAAAAGAAAACACAACTTGTGTAGAATGTCAACATCAGGAATGGTGAATGTCATGGTGCTTGCATCCTTCACATAGAAATCATTTCTACCAACAATGGACTCTGTTGGATGGCAGGCCATACGTGCATTCTTCGGGCAAGTTTGTAATTCCATTCTGTTAAAGTCCGAATTTCCATCATTCTGTCAATGACCTTGGCAAATAGTCCCATGTCTGATTTGTGGTTCTTCTTGAGCATGTGCAGGAAACACTGGATCAGTTGCCATTGGATCTTCTCCACTTTGCCAGGTTCCTTCAACCCACTGCGATCTGCACACAGATAAAGGTGTTTATAAGTCAACCCTTTACTAACTCGAAGACACACACACATGAATATCAACTTACAGCGATCTGCACATAGATAAAGGTGTGTATAAGTCAACCCTTTACTAACTCGAAGACACACACACATGAATATCAACTTACAGCAATCTGCACACAGATAAAGACACACATGAATATCAACTTACAGCGATCTGCATACAGATAAAGACACACATGAATATCAACTTACAGCGATCTGCATGCAGATAAAGACACACATGAATATCAACTTACAGCAATCTGCATACAGATAAAGACACACATGAATATCAACTTACAGCGATCTGCATACAGATAAAGACACACATGAATATCAACTTACAGCGATCTGCATACAGATAAAGACACACATGAATATCAACTTACAGCGATCTGCATACAGATAAAGACACACATGAATATCAACTTACAGCGATCTGCATACAGATAAAGACACATGAATATCAACTTACAGCGATCTGCATACAGATAAAGACACACATGAATATCAACTTACAGCGATCTGCATACAGATAAAGACACACATGAATATCAACTTACAGCGCATCTGCATACAGATAAAGACACACACATGAATATCAACTTACAGCGATCTGCATACAGATAAAGACACACATGAATATCAACTTACAGCGATCTGCATACAGATAAAGACACACATGAATATCAACTTACAGCGATCTGCATACAGATAAAGACACACATGAATATCAACTTACAGCGATCTGCATACAGATAAAGACACACATGAATATCAACTTACAGCGATCTGCATACAGATAAAGACACACATGAATATCAACTTACAGCGATCTGCATACAGATAAAGACACATGAATATCAACTTACAGCGATCTGCATACAGATAAAGACACACATGAATATCAACTTACAGCGATCTGCATACAGATAAAGACACACATGAATATCAACTTACAGCGATCTGCATACAGATAAAGACACACATGAATATCAACTTACAGCGATCTGCATACAGATAAAGACACACATGAATATTAACTTACAGCGATCTGCATACAGATAAAGACACATGAATATCAACTTACAGTGATCTGCACACACATGGAGGTACACACATATGAAAATCAACATACAGCGATCTTCACACTGTTGAAGACACACATGAATATCAACTTACAGCGATCTGCATACAGATAAAGACACACATGAATATTAACTTACAGCACTCTGCATACAGATAAAGACACATGAATATCAACTTACAGCGATCTGCACACAGATGGAGGTACACACATATGAAAATCAACATACAGCGATCTTCACACAGATGAAGACACACATGAATATCAACTTACTATACAGCGATCTTCACACAGATGAAGACACACCTGAATATCAACTTACAGGGATCTGCACACAGATACAGATACAAACAGACTACATCACATTACTTTGCAGACCACTGTGATACCATCAGTTACCATATTGTCAAAATCTACTCTGAAACAAATGTGCAAAAAAACATTGTCAAAATCAAAAGGCATCTCTATCTTGTCACTGCCACTGAATCTGGCCAGCTGCACGTTTTACTCTCAACACTCTGGTTAATACTGTCCAACAATATATATTTGGTGAGTGAGTGAGTTTTGTTTTACGCCACACTTGCCGCACTCAGCAATATTCCAGCTATATGGTGGCGGTCTGTAAATAATCGAGTCTGAACAGCATGGGTATCAATCGGCGCAATTGGGAACCGCTGACATGTGTCAACCAAGTCAGCGAGCCTGACCACCCGGTCCCGTTAGTCGCCTCTTACGACAAGCATGGGTTACTGAAGGTCAATATTCTAACCCACCATCTTCACTGGTATTATATTTGGCACCAAGATACAACTAGATGAGGCTCTCTTCATCATTACATCAAGCTAAACATCACTACAACAAACCATTATATACTCACCAGCAAATGTCACACAAATGCACTTCACAATCACAAATTCGTCTGGTAGTAATGGTATTTTTTTCAATGTCTGCGCAAAACGGAACATATCAACAATAAAGTCTTCATCCCAAATCCTGCCCATCTCACTGCGATGAAGGCATTTTCCATTGGGGAGACATGCCACCATCAGGTCCTGGTTGTAGCCTTGGAAGGTTCCCCACATCCAGAACTCAAACCTAGAGGCTGCAACAACAAAATTGTCCCAGTTTAATTATTATGTTTTACAGAATAAAATAAAATGCAACAGACAGATGTTAAGTTGGTTGGTGTTTAACGGGGCAGTCAGCAATGTTCCAGCTATATGGCAGCAGTCTGTAAATAACTGAGTCTGGACAAGACAATCCAGTGATCAACAGCATGTGCATCAATCTACGCAATTGGGACAACCAGATAACCTATCCCATTAGTTCCTACAAGCATGGGTTGCTGAAGACCAATTCTAACCCATTAGAGGTCAGGCTGGTTAGATGCATCATCAGCTCAGGTTTCTAGGGGTGAAATGGTACGCTCTTACCATGGTACGGTACATACTGCGGTACCCTCGGTTCGGTCTGTTTCGGTTCGGTATATGATATATGATCATAATACAGAAAAGAAACCCATAGATTTTGACAAAATGATTCAATTTCTAGACATTTTGGAAAAGGTTTAAAAAGGTTAATAAAATGATGGTACGAAAACTGAAAATACTGATTTTGGGGAATTACTTACGGTATACCGAACCAAAGGCAAAATACCGCGGTTCTACTAATACCGTGGTATACTGTTTCACCCCTACAGGTTTCCCAGGAAAAGCTGCCTAGTTGAATCCACCAAGAATTGTCCTGAGAACATGGATACCCCCAATACGGCAGTTCTCTTCATTATCCAGATTATCAGAAGAGCTGTGCCCTTGGTGAAGAATCCGGGCGCACTCCTGATCTGATGATTGTCGTATCTGATAATGCAGATCAGGAGGTACCAAACCAAGGTCACTGAGAAAAATGGGGAGCCTAACGACAGTGTATGTGGGATGCAAGGGCGGGCGTGAATCTTCCCTACTTCTTTCTGAGATAAAGTCTGGCTATGGATAGGGAAGGTCTGTTTCAGGGTGAATCTTCATCACCTCCATTGTTTGTAAAGACTTCCCATGGGTGGGGAATTTCTTGCCCGGAGTGAATCTTTCCCACATCTAAGGGGTCTGGGGGTAAAGTCTGACCATGGGTGGGGAAGGCCTGGCCTGAAGTTAATCTTCCCCACCTCTATTGGGGGTAAAGTCTGGCCATGGGTGGGGAAGGTCTGGTCTGAAGTTAATCTTCCCCACTTTGGTTGGGAGTAAAGTCTGGCCATAAGTGGGGAAGGTCTGGTCTGAAGTTAATCTTCCCCACCTCTATTGGGGGTAAAGTCTGGCCATGGGTGGGGAAGGTCTTGTCTGAAGTTAATCTTCCCCACTTCTATTGGAAGTAAAGTCTGGCCAGGTGGAGAAGGTTTGGCCTGAAGTGCTCACTTCCATTGAGAACTGGCCTTTAACCATGATGCTCCATGAGAAACATGATGCACTGAGGGACTGAGGGACCGTTCATAATTTATGCCTAGTGGGGTGATGATGATTTTTATGGAGAAGGATGTACAATGTGAACGAACCCCCCCTAAGATTTGTGTACAAACTAAGTGATCCCCCTGCATGTCATGTACAATATCAATGAATCCCCCGTGATAATATTTAAGGTTAATGTTTACATATTTTTATGTACAAAATTATGAATTGTCCTTCAACTAGCTACCTTTAACTAAGGTGGCCTGGTCCTCAATGTGAAGGTCTGTGAATCCTGGGATGAGCTTGACAAAATTGATGTACTTCTTTATGCCATTCTCCATGTGGGTGGCAAAATAATGCATCATTTCCTGCCGGTTGTCAACGTCCATCCCTGTCTTCTCATAGATTTCCATGTACTGGTCATGGGACAACGTTGACAGGGGCCCAAACATCGCCTGCTTATTCTGATAACCCTCCTGTAAGAGATGGAGATTGCTTCAAGAATACGAATCAGGTAGAGTTACAAGTAAGTGAGTGAGTGAGTGAGTTTTTCAAGCAATAACTTGGCAAAAAATACCAGAAACAAGTTTGGCTTATCGCACAAAGAGGGAAATTGAACCTGGATCTTTGGCATAAATGGATGAACACTTGAACCTGTAGTCTATGACACCAGTCCTTCTGATGTCTACAGGTTCATAGTAGTAAGAAGTAAACTAATTACTATATTATAATGACCTTCACAGATGTAAAAAAAGTAACCCTTTCCATAATGAAGACCAAAGATGGAAAGCATAAAAGTAACAGATATTTTTACCTTGAGTCCTGTATTTGAGGGTCCCTGCAAATGATACCATAACCTGGCTAGTAGCAGACTCAGTGATAACTTATTGTTACTTGATCAAAATTTTAACAAAAATTATTTTGATTTTTTCTGTGTCCCTGTGGACAAGGTAATAAATTTAGTTGCGTTCATTGTCAATTTTTATGCGTATAGGACGCAGGAATTCAGCGTCCCTGAAGTAACCTGACCCTAAATCAATACAAGTGTAGAAACATAGGCTTTCGTAATGAAACATTTGAATTGAAATTAGCCTAAAATGCATCAAAGGTAGAAAGAACCTTTGAACAAATCATCAAACAAAACACCAAGGACTGTAGTCTCAGAATTCCATAATAAAGAAAACTGTAATCACAAACTGACTGAATAATATCAAAAGCCAAACATCCACAGCCTGGCCTATGATCTAGCCCACAAGCAAGAGATTCCAAGTCTTGCATAACATGCTCTGGCAATGAGAACAGAACAGGTCAGGCCAAGGATGGTTGGTTGGTATTAATGCTGCCCTCACCTATATTCCAGCTATATGGCAGCAGTCTGTAAATAATCAAGTTTGGACCAGACAATCCAGTGATCAACAATATGAGCATCAATCTACACAATTGGGATACGATGACCTGTGTCAACCAAGTCAGCGAGCCTGACCACCCGATCCCGTTAGGCACCTCTTACATCAAGCATGAATTGCTGAAGACCAATTTTCACCCAGATCTTCACCTGATGTTTCTGTATTAGACGTTTTTGCTTCATGGGTGGTCAGTGTGTTGCTTGTAATTATAAGTGAGTAATCGAGTGATCGGGTGAGTTTAGTTTTACGCCACTTTTAGCAATATTCCAGCAATATCATGGCAGGGGACACCAGAAATGGGCTTCACACATTGTACTCATGTGGGGCATCGAACCCGGGTCTTCGGCGTGACGAGCAAACGCTTTAACCACTAGGCTACCCCACCGCCCGAGTGAGTGAGTGAGTGAGTATGTTTTTATGCCACTTTTAGCAATGTTCCTGCAATATCATGGCTGGGGACAACAGAAATGGGCTTCACACATTATACGTAACCCATGTGGGGAACTGAACCCAGGCCTTGAAGTGAACACTTTAACCACTAGGCTACCCTACTGCCCCTGTATTATATGAATATTTCGCAGGTCCGTATGAACACAGATGCTAACACATACTGGTGGTGTCTATTATAACTGCTTCATCAACCATTGCATTAAAACTAAACATGCTGAACTTGTTAAGATGCAAGGTTTAATTTGAATAATGTTTTCGTGAGCTTTGTTGTGTATGATATTGTTTCTGTCCACACGTGCAGTGAACTGGGTACAAAATATTCCAACATGTCCAGGTAACATGTGTCACTTCATTAATCCCAGAAAAGGTCACTTTGCATTTTTCGCATTAATTTCATGCATCAATGAATTTCATGACTTACAGTTACATACACAGTGGCAAATGGACAAGGGACATTTATGGTAACTAGTCATGAGATGAAATAAAGAGTTTCTTCGAGAACCATGGTTACACATTTCAGTAATTATATTTATGTTTTCGTTGAGTTATATTTTGAAAAGAAACTAATTTTGGAGCAAATCACAGATGTATGACGGACAAAACAGTTCCTACTTTAGAGAGTAATAGAAAATTGCAAAATTATTTTAATTGAACCAAACTGATGACAGCTAATGTGTGGGATGTTTGTGAACGTCATCTGTAGACAAAGCAGATATGATGCTGTACAGGTAGGTAGCCAGGCTCCTCAAGGATTTGAGGGGCTGTGGGGTAGCCCAGTGGTTAAAGTGTTCACTTGTCATGCCGAATGCCTGAGTTCGATTCCGAAAATGGGTACAATGTATGAAACCACTTCCTGGTGTGCCTCGTCATGATATTGCTGGAAATTTAAAAAGTCGTATACTGCTAAAAGCGGCATAAAACCCAACTCACTCACTCCTCCAGGATTTGAGTGATGTGCTCGTATTTAGGGCTAAAGAAACAAGATGGCCTGTACTCCGTACTGTGCTTGTTAGCGAATAGGTTTGCTTGCAAAAGTTTTACTAAAATAAGATCAGCTGTTATTTTTTTTTAAATGATCAGAGAAAAGGAAATAAGCAGAAAATAAACTTGACAAATAATGTTCAGGAACATACAAACTGGTCTGACAAATAACATGTGCAATGTTCTCTAACCAACATCACATGGTCTGTATCCAAAGCCTAGCAGTTTTGACTGAAGGCAATACAGTGGAAACCGCCTAAGTAAAGACCGCTTAACTAAACAGACCTGATAAGTAAACACTTTTCTTTGGTCCCGGCAAATTTCTTCATTAATTATCACTATTAGAGTCCGGTTAACTAAACTTGGATAAGTAAACAATACCGCTTAACTAAACGTCTTCTCACGGTCCCTGGAAGTAAATTACTTAACAAAAGAGACTGGATAACTAAATTAGCGATTACCACATAATCCGACATGAGGGGCACGTGTCAGTCTCCAGCTAAACAAACATCCTACTTACAGCTCGCTGGCAGCACGCAGTTGACAATACACTGACAACTGGAGGCCAGCCCTGATAAGTGGTCCATTGTTACATATGCATACATATACATGCATATGGTTGTCATTTGCAGGTTTTTATAAGTTTGGATAAGTAAAATACCTGATAAGTAAACAATTTTGGCGAGTCCCTTGAAATTTTACTTATCAAGTTTCCACTGTATATATATCCCTTCCCTCCATCTGTTTACCACCTCTCCCCCAAAACAGCCCAACCTGTCAATGAATTAAATCAGCTCAATGCCTACATTATAGAACCGCCTCCGTGGTGTAGTGGTTAGAGCGTCCGCCCGGAGAGCGGAGAGCGGAAGGTTGTGGGTTCGAGCCCCGACCGCGTCATACCAAAAGACGTTAAAATATGGTACTTGTTGGTCCCTGCCTGGCGCTCGGCATTATTGGGTACAACAAGGACTGGTCGGCTCGGAGTCAGTATAATGTGTCTGAGTGGGGTATTTATGCTTCACTGCGGCATGGTATCTCAGTGGGCTAGCACTATAAAACCAGCTTCAGTCTGGGCTAGTACAAGCAGCCGCACATACACATACACACGCATGCACGTCGTCATATGAGCGAAATATTCTCAAACACGACGATAAACCCAATTTCACCTCACCTCACCTACATTATAGGGCAAATAAGTAGGTCACGGGACTTCGTGAGACCTTACACGGAGTAGTACGTCCGGTGACAAACAACGTTTCATACCTTTTCGATTGGTCTCATGGTTGCCAGTTAGGAACCGATAATCCTTGCAGGAACTACAAATTTCCGATCTAACCATCCCCAAGTTAGCCAACTATTACAACTGTCAACAGCTGTGACAGACAAGTGTACACTTGGTCCGGTCTGGTAAAGTCAAATTTGGAACCAGAACAGGTTCTTGAATATATGCTTGTCACCAGAAACCAGAAGTAAGCTGGGCTCCGTCTCGCATATCGCAAGTTGGTGCACACAAGCCGGGAACCAGCTCAGTATCAGAAGTAGCAGGTATATAACTACAGGCCCTATAATAACTACTGTTACTAGTAATTTCATGGCTGGATACCAGTTGGATGTTATTTAAATCCTAGGAATCATCACTGATTAAAACTGATAAATTCATAACTTCTTTGAGAGGCATTAGACGTTGTAGCATGAAGGAAGGATAACAAGAAGACAAAGTCAGGAGTATCCCCAGCAATGGTAAAATACTCTTCATGAATATGTCCACTAGTTATGACTATGTCAAATGTTACATTGTTCTTCACATTGATCTGAGTGAGTGAGTTTAGGTTTACGCCGCACTCAACACTATTCCAGCTATATGGCGGTGGTCTGTAAATAATCGAGTATGGACCAGACAATCCAGTGATCAACAGCATGAGCATCGATCTGCGCAATTGGGAACCGATGACATGTGTCAACCAAGTCAGCGAGCCTGACCACCCGATCCCTTTAGTCGCCTCTTACGACAAGCATAGTCGCCTTTTGTGGCAAGCATGGGTTGCTGAAGACCTATTCTACCCCGGAACTTCACGGGTACACTGATCTGAAGAGACATACATATATAAACTATTCATATACTAGCATGCTTGTATCAACAACAGACTGCTTGAGTGCTTCTCTGGTTTGATGTACCTCAGTAATACTGATTCAGAAATAGAGTGGTGCTGTTGATTTATGTCATTAGGTTCTTGAATGCCCACAAAGTGGAAGGAGAGTATTGAAAGATTTTGCTCAATAAAGGAGCACTACTTCCAATTTCAGTCAAAGTCAAAGATGTTGCCATGGAAACACAAAAAGATATTTTATTGAGAAATCCAAAACTACCAAGAGGCACCAGTTCACCACGAGACCTATCTATGTGCCAAGTTTGATGAAGAAACATTGAACAGTTATAAAGTTCTGCCCCGGAATAGAGCACTGCCATTAATTTAAATCTAAGTCAAACTTGTTGCCATGGAAACGTAAACAATATTTTATTCAGAAATCCAAAACTACCAAAAGGCACCAGTTCCCACCAGACGTATCTGTGTGCCAAGTTTGGTGAAGACATATTTTACATTTTGTTCAGCTTTGTAGAAGACAAATTTGCACAAACAGAGTCTAAAACATATTGCGGAGGATAACAATATATGGATGAGCAGCTTCTTTATTCGAGTGAGAGTGACGTTTCGGTGTAGGTTCTAACACCATTATCAAGCAAGTGATGAAGCGTCACTCTCACCATAACATAGAAGTTGTTCATCCATATTTTGTTATCCTTCCTTCCTGATAAATTTTGGGCTGTGGGGTAGCCTCGTGGTAAAAGCATTTGCTCCTCGTGCTGAACATTCCCCACATGGGTACAATGTTATGCAGCCCATTTCTCTTGTCCCCCGCTATGATATTTCTGGAACATTGCTAAAAGTGGTGTAAAACGAGACTCACTCATTCACTCCTGATGAATTGATAACTTACATAATGTTTGAGCTGACATTCCAGGAGGTAGGCCTTGGACAAGTATGTGCTGGAACAGATGTACGTATGATGCGCTTCAAGCAGACTGGCAATCATGGAGTCACAGTCAATTGGTTCTTCTGGCGTAGGTGGCATTGGTGTTGCTAGGGGCAACATAGGAAGCGGATCGTTCTGAGTAGGAGGAGAAACACACGACAGGGCCAGGTGACAGAATGCTTCAACGGCAGGACTCAAGGGCCTGGGGAACGAATCAAAGTCTTCGACAGATGGCGGCGCCGGTTCTGTGTCTGATGGCGGCGTCAGTGCTGAGTGCAATGGTGCTCCCTCTGCTGTTAGCAGAGTTGACTGTGCTGGAAAAGTGTTTGAGGTTGTTGCCTGTGTCGGAAAAGTGTTTGATGTTAATGTCTGCACTGAATAAGTGTTTGATGTTCCTGTGTGTTCGGGAAAAGTGTTTGATGGCAATGTCTGCACTGGATAAGTGTTTGATGTTCCTGTGTGTTCGGGAAAAGTGTTTGATGGCAATATCTGCACTGAATAAGTGTTTGATGTTCCTGTGTGTTCGGGAAAAGTGTTTGATGTGGATGCTTGCTCTGGCGATGAGTTTGACCCCTCTTCTGGGAAACTGTTTGATGTCAATGTCTGCATTTGATAAGTGTTTGATGTTACTGTGAGTTCTGGAAAAGTGTTTGATATCACTGCCTGCTCTGGCGATGAGTTTGATGTCGATGACTCTTCTGAGAAGGCGAGTGATGCAGATCCCTGTGCTCTGACAGTGCATGCTGTTGTTGCATGTACTTCTAAAGCATGTGATGTTGTTGCCTGTCCTGTGACAACAGGGGATGTTGTTTCCTGCGCTGTTTCAGTGCATGATGGTGCTGTCGGTATTGTGACAGCTGTGATGGTCAGCTCTGGGTCTTGGCTTGGTGTTGACAATTCTGTTGTGGGGTTTCCACTGGATTTTGTAGATCTTGTCTGGAGTCTACCTCTGGCCTTTGAACGTGTCACGGTTGTGGATGCTGTGCCTGTGGCTGTTACTGTGATCGGGTCTTGCTGTATAGAAGTCCCCTCCACACTTTGAGGTAGAGTTATTATGGTAATGTTATGGTTGTGGTCTTGTCGAAGTTCTTCCTGTTCTAGCTGTTTCACCTCCAGAATGTCTTGTGTTCGCTTCTCGTGAGTGTATCGGCCAGTCTTGATAGCTGAAGCAAATGTTCAACACAAATGAACACAGTAAGGTCACCAATAATAAAACCACACTTTGTTTTGTCGGGTGATGTCAATACAATGAACCTCAACAATGCAGACAATCCCCCCGTTGACCCTCAACATTACCAACAAAGGGTCCTACAGATCCACAACAATACAGACAACCTCAACAATACAGACAACCACAAGAACACAGACAACCTCAACAATACAGACCTCAACACAACAGACAACCACAACACAGACAACCTCAACAATACAGACAACCACAACAATACAGACAACCTCAAGAACACAGACAACCTCAACAACAACAGACAACCTCAACAATACAACAATACAGACAACCTCAACACAACCTCAACAATACAGACAACCCAACCTCAACAATACAGACAACCTCAACATCAACAACAGACCTCAACAATACAGACAACCTCAACAATACAGGCGACCTCAACACAACAGACAACCTCAACACATACAGACAACCTCAACAATACAGACAACCACAAGAACACAGAAACCTCAACTCAACAATACAGACAGACAACCAACAACACAGACAACCTCAACAATACAGACAACCACAAGAACACAGACAACCTCAACAATACAGACCTCAACACAACAGACAACCTCAACAATACAGACAACCTCAACAATACAGACAACCTCAACAATACAGACAACCTCAACAACAACAGACCTCTCAACAATACAGACAACCTCAACAATACAGACAAGACAACCACAAGAACACAAGACAACCTCAACAATACAGACAACCACACACACAGACAACCTCAACAATACAGACAACCCCACACAGAACACAGACAACCTCAACAATACAGACCTCAACAACAACAGACAACCTCAACAATACACAACCTACAACCAAGAAACAGACAACCTCAACAATACAGACAACCTACAGACAACCTCAACAACAGACAACCTCAACACAACAGACAACCCTCAACAATACAGACAACCTCAACAAGCACAGATGACCTCAACAATACAGACAACCTCAACAATACAATCAACACAACAGACAACAACACAACAGACAACCTCAACACAACAGACAACCTCAACAATACAGACAACCTCAACAACACAGACAACCTCAACAATACAGACAACCTCAACAACAACAGACAACCTCAACAATACAGACAACCTCAACACAACAGAGACAACCTCAACAATACAGACAGACAACCTCAATACAGACACAGGGACTAACCTCAACAACACAGACAACCTCAACAATACAGACCTCAACAACAACACAGACAACCTCAACAATACAGACCTCAACAATACAGACAACCTCAACACAACAGACAACCTCAACAACACAGACAACCTCAACACAACAGACAACCTCAACAATACAGACAACCTCAACACAACAGACAACCTCAACACAACAGACAACCTCAACAATACAGACAACCTCAACAATACAGACAACCTCAACACAACAGACAACCTCAACAATACAGACAAGGGTCCTACAGATCCACAACACAGACAACCTCAACAATACAGACCTCAACAAAACAGACAACCTCAACAACACAGACAACCTCAACACAACAGACAACCTCAACAATACAGACAACCTCAACAAAACAGACAACCTCAACAATACAACCTACAGACAACCTCAACAATACAGACAACCTCAACAAAACAGACACCTCAACAATACAGACAAGGGTCCTACAGATCCACAACAACACAGACAACCTCAACAATACAGACAACCTCAACACAACAGGCAACCTCAACCTCAACACAACAGGCAACCTCAACAATGCAGACAACCTCAACACAACAGACAACCTCAACAATACAGACAACCTCAACACAACAGACAACCTCAACACAACAGACAACCTCAACAATACAGACAACCTCAACACAACAGACAACCTCAACAATACAGACAACCTCAACACAACAGACAACCTCAACATTACAGACAAGGGTCCTACAGATCCACAACACAGACAACCTCAACAATACAGACAACCTCAACAAAACAGACAACCTCAACACAACAGACAACCTCAACAATACAGACAACCTCAACACAACAGACAACCTCAACACAACAGACAACCTCAACACAACAGACAACCTCAACAATACAGACAACCTCAACACAACAGACCTCAACAATACAGACAACCTCAACACAACAGACAACCTCAACACATACAGACAACCTCAACAATACAGACAACCTCAACACAACAGACAACCTCAACATTACAGACAAGGGTCCTACAGATCCACAACCACACAGACAACCTCAACAATACAGACAACCTCAACACAACAGACAACCTCAACTACAGACAAAAGACAACCTCAACAATACAGACAACCTCAACAATACAGACAACCTCAACACAACAGACAACCTCAACAATACAGATCTCAAAAGGGGTCTTTAACAACAGACACAACAAACAACATTAAAAATACACATGGGGGTATTGTCAGCACAATAGACAACCTAAAATATCTCAACAATGCAATGGTCCTGATGACTCAACAATACAGGCAGGGGTCCTGAAGACACTCAACAATACAAACAACCTGAACAATGGACACGGGCCCTCAAGACCCTCAATAATACAGACCTGAACAACACTGACATGGGCCCTCAAGACCCTCAATAATACAGACCTGAACAATACAGACATGGGCCCTCAAGACCCTCAATAATACAGACCTGAACAATACAGACATGGGCCCTCAAGACCCTCAATAATACAGACCTGAACAATACAGACATGGGCCCTCAAGACCCTCAATAATACAGACCTGAACAAACAATACAAGACAATAATACAGACCTGGGACACTCAAGACCCTCAATAATACAGACCTGAACACCTACATACAGACATGGGCCCTCGAGACCCTCAATAATACAGACCTGAACAATACAGACATGGGCCCTCAAGACCCATGGGCCCTCAAGGCCCTCAATAATACAGACCTGAACAATACAGACATGGGCCCTCAAGACCCTCAATAATACAGACCTGAACAATACAATAATACAGACCTGAACAATACAGACATGGGCCCTCAAGACATGGGGCCCTCAAGACCCTCAATAATACAGACCTGAACAATACAGACATGGGCCCTCAAGACCCTCAATAATACAGACCTGAACAATACAGACATGGGCCCTCAAGACCCTCAATAATACAGACAACCTCAACAATACAGACAAGGGGGCCTGCAGACCCTCTACAGTAACAGTACAGACAAGGGTCCAACACATACTCAACAACACAGGATGATTGTCATGAAGACCCTCGACAATACAGACAACATCACATTATCAGATTATTTCTGTAAAGTTGTACGTATTAGCTCACCTGTCTTGGACATGCCGACATTGATACACTTCTCGTAGCGGCATGACGGGCAGGTGCTGCGTCTCCCCATACCAATCTTGCATCGCCCTGATGCCGAACATTTGTATTTTTCCTTACGCTGCAGGCTCCGTCGGAAAAATCCCTGAATGAAAGAAATGAATTTGATCTATAAACAATTTTTAGTTTTAATTAAGATACAGCTGTTAATGATAAGATACAGTGTAGGCATCTGCTGAGTTTCTGATGGCACATATAAATCAGTGTAGGCATCTGCTGAGTGAGTGAGTGAGGTGAGTGAGTGGGTGAGTGAGCTTTGAGTGCAATATTGAGGAGGAGCAATATGATGGAGTGAGTGAGTATGGTTTTACACGCTTTTTGCAATACCAATATGATGGCGGGGACACCAGAAATGGGCTTCACACATTGTAACCATGTGGGGAATCAAACCGGGTCTTCGCATGTTGAGTGAGTGAGTGAGTGAGTGAATATTCAGGTAATCATTATTTATGATGGAATTTCTGTATAGATTTTAGGCTAAACAATACAATGATGCAACTATTGTAACTGTTTTACAGAATATACTGAACACAAAAAGAATCTAATTTAATGAACTTGTCAAAATGGCGGATGTCAGACCCTTACCTTGCAGGCTTCATACGTGTTGACGCCATAATGGAATCCGCTTGCCTTCTCCCCACACACTCGACATGGAGGAAGGGAATTGGCAACAGCCGTGGGTACAACTGGGGGTCGACTAGTTTGGGGAGCGGCTGATGGTGATGATGATGTTGTAGATGGTGAGGATGAGGATGACTGAGTGTCTGTTTCCTCTATCATTGTCTTTGGGCTGCAAAATCAAGGTGTTATGATGAGTGGGCAATTCAACCGTTGCTTACTTATAATATTTAGTTTCTTCTCATCGTCCAACCAATAAAAAATTTCTCGTTTCAAGTTGAAGCTAACTCAAACTCAGTCAAATGATCTTACAGACAATTGCCTCTGAGAAAAAAATATTACACATTCTCAATAAAATCTGATCTTTAACTCTGATAAGATATCTCTCTGGGTGCCATTGTTTTCCATTTCCATACAAGTCTGTTGATACCTGAGACAACCTTGATCTACATAGAACACAAACATTCCTTTGATCATACACCTTGTCTGGTGTGGCTGCTATGGAGCTCAGAAATGACAGGAAGCATGAAACATCCACAGCTATATTATGGCGCTGATATAATTTCTACTGCCAGGAATGTCACTTTAAGTTGCTTTAAAGACACAGAAATCAGACATGCAGATTTGAATCCTTCCTTCACTTCAAGTCACTTGTGTCCGGGTTAAAATATTGGCCTTTAGTAATGCATGCTTGTCGTAAAAGGCGACTAACGGGATCGGGTGGTCAGGCTCGCTGACTTGGTTGACACATGTCATCAGTTCCCAATTGCGCAGATCGATGTTCATGCTGTTGATTACTGGATTGTCTGGTCCATACTCGATTATTTACAGACTGCTGCTATATAGCTGGAATATTGCTGAGTGCTGCTTAAAACTAAACTCACTCACTCACTCAAGTCACTTGTTTAACAAGAACGTAAAAATCTTTCACTGAATGGCTGATTAGAAAATTTACCCGATCTGACTTCCGCAGATGGCATGCACGGAGGTATCATGTCGACAAATGCACTAAATAGATAACCCATATTAATATCAACTTGTGTCCGTCCCTCCATCATGTATTAAATTTAGTTGTGTGCACGTAATCTCCCTGGATCACTCTTAAACAGTAATATCCTTTCCAAAACATTATGCTTGTTATAAATATATCAGTGTATGCCCATGTTGGTATATATCCTGGTAAATGTTTTGTCAACTCTAGGAGTGGTGGGGCAATCTTGTGGTTGAAGCATTCGCTTGTCATGCTAAATAACCTGTCTGTTAACTCTGTGAAGATCCGGGTTAGAATTATCTTCAGCAAACAATGCTTGTCAAGAGGCGACTGACGGGATCAGGTGGTCAAGCTCGCCGACTTAGTTGACACATGTCATGGTATCCCAGTTATGTAGAGAGATGCTCATTATGTCTATCACTGGATTGTCTGGTCCAGACTCGATTATTTCCAGATTGCCGTCACATAGCTGGAATATTTCTGAGTGTGTAACTTAATTCTTTTAACGCTGCTTTTAGCAAAATCCCAGCAATATCACAGCGGGGACACCAGAAATGGGCTTCACACATGTCATCACATGCCAGTTAAGTAGAGAGATGCTTATAATGTCTTTCACTGGATTGTCTGATCAAGACTCGATTATTTCTAGATTGCCCTCATATAACTGGAATATTTCTGAGTGAGTAAGTTTAGTTTTTTACGCTTTTTCGTTTATTCCCCGTGTCAAAGCACACCCTAAAACAATAGTGACTGAGAATGGTTTTCGTCGCTCTTAGCAATATTCCAGCAATATCACGACGGGGACATCTGAAATGGGCTTCATGCTAGTGCTGGTCCGATTAATTGAAATAATCGAAGATTGGTCTTGCAGTGACTAAACGACCAAGCAATCGATCATGTTTTCTCATAATCGAACACAAACAATTCTGGAATACTTGTTTTGCGTTAACAACATATTTCCTGCGGTTGGTTTTGTCTGTTACATTTGATGACCACTACAAGCTTGTTCCAAGTCATGGTTGAATTTATCTTCAAGACTCCAAAGAAATTAATGTTCCTAAGCTACTAGTCATCGTTTAAAGATGTGAAGTTTTCCAATGCCTTTTGTGCAATTTGCAAAAACACCAAAGAACTACAGGGTTTTTTCTTTATTTTTGGGGTCCATTAACAAAAATAATCAGGAAAATTTCATAAATGGCGCTAACCAATTATTTTTCGATGATTGACCCGGTTGTAATGAACCAATCATCAATTATGAGATTTTGACCAATTCCCAACACTACTTCACGCGACTGTACCCATGTGGGGATTCGAACCTGGAACCTCAGCTTGACAAGTTTAATGTTTTAACCACTAGGCTACCCAACCGACCCTATTTCCGAGTGAGACATTATACAACAAACAAACAAATCAGTAGAGTTTATGCTTTTTTACCTACATAGAGGAAAATACGCAGCTTCATAGACGGGGGAGGCTGTGTATAATTCATTTTGTTGTTTGATCTTATGTAAAGAAATGACCTGATACAAACACATACAATAAACCCAATGATACATTCACCTGAAGCAAGATGAAGCATTTACACCAAAATGTTGTGTTCCTCGTAATAGGGGTGAAACGGTACACCACGATTTTAGTAGAACTGCGGTAGTTTGCCTTGGTATACCGTGAGGGCTGCGCTAATATAACCGGTTTACGGTATTTACCAGTTCAGACATGAAAGCGCATCACGTATTATGTCGCTGATCGAAAACCGGTACTTTGACATGCATTAGGAAAACTTTGTAACTTTCGGAAATCTTAGGATATTTCCATTTTTTAATTGTTCTTTTCCCTGTTTCATTAGTGCCAAATGTTACTTACATTTTTATTTTGTCAGGATTAAAAGTTTTATAAAGGTTAATCAATCATAGTGATTTTGTTGTGTTTTTGCTTTATAATCAAGCATTAACTTCGATTATAAGTAGGTTTTGTTAAAAATAATCCTTGCAATATATTGCAATACATATCATAATATATGCTTCCGCGATCGCAATATATCGCAATATGAAAATTCTCTGCAATACCCACCCCTAGTATACCGTGATGTAATGCAATTGCAAATTTTTTATTTTCAGTTTTCGTACTGTCATATCTATCTTGACATAAAATGTTCATTCAAAATAAGAAATATTATGGTTATTTTTTTCCATGTTATTATACAATGTTATTTTTGGCTTTTGGTGTCAATTTTCTGCATTATGATCATATCTCATACTGAACTGAAGGCTTTCTACCGCAAACCATACCATATTGTGGTAAGAGCATACAGTTACTATACACTCCTACCTCATAATAAAGACACCTGTGAAGATCCAGGTTAGAATTGGTCTTCAGTAACCCATGCTTGTCGTAAGAGGCGACTAACGGGATCGGGTGGTCAGGCTCGCTGACTGGGTTAATTTTATCCCAATTAAGTAGATCGATGCTCTTGTTGTTGATCCTTGGATTGTTTGGTCCATACTTGATTATTTACAGACCGCCATCATATAGCTGGACTATTGCTGTGTTCGGCGTAAAACTCAACTCACTCACTCACTCACTCATAATATAGACACTACATATTTCCTCCCCTCTACATGACTAGCAGAACAGGAAATACAACAGTCATAAATCACCATGTCCAGGCATATTTTGTCACAAATTTTACATTTTCACTTGCCAAGTCTGATACCCCTGTTCATGCACCATAAACGATGCAATATTATTTTTTCATAGTTAGGCCAGACCAATTGTATGTCTTGTTTTACAGATCCGCTGGTTGTATTTTTTCAAGACTAAGAAAAAAAAATAAAAAATGAATTTTCCCCACTCAAAAAATAAAATCCTCATGTTTTTATTGGCCAAAAATGTAAACTTACCATTTTTTTTGATTGTATTTTGACTAGTGATTTTTATTTTTTATTTTTTTCCCTCCTGCCTTTACGTCTTCTGAGGACAAAACTCCGTAAAACAAGAAATAAAATTGGTCTGGCCTTAACAATGCAAAATGTCAAGTTTTCTTCAGACTTGAACCTATGAAAGCAAGGAGAGCTTTATACTCAAACAAACACAATACACCAAAACATTTACTATCCATTATTATTTCATATATCAGTATGAGTAGTGAATAGCTTTTATGCCACTTTTAGCAATATTCCTGCAATATCATGGCGGAGGACACCAGAAAGTGCTTCACACATTGTACCCATGTGGGTTATCAAACCCGGGTGTTTGGTGTGACAAGTGAAAACTTTAACCACTAGGCTACCCCACCCCACCCTATCATTATGACTTTTTGTGAGTCAAATTATTGAATTTGTGTGGTCCATATCCATTGTCGGATAATTAAGTTTGGATTCGTTGTTGCTGCAAATATCAGTCAGTTGGTGCATACTGTCAGCCAGTACGATACATGATATCAATAAACTTCATGAGACCAATATTGAATAAAATTGTTATTAAAATTAATAAAATGGAGTACTAATATAAGGCCAACTAATAATTATACAGTGAACACTTTGAATTTCCTGAAAGTGTCCTAAAGTAATGAGTTTAGAAATGTTGCATCAATATATATTGAAGAAGATGTCATTCATAAAGTACCTTACCTTTGTTGTTACTCGCCAACTTTAAAAATGCCAATCAAACAGACTGAGCTGCTATTTATATTTCAGAAATGTTGTGATAAAAAGTTATACATTAATAATACATTTTTAGAACAATAAAACCTGTCAACAAAGGACAGAGGACCAGTCTATCACAGATACAGACTTACCTATCATGTAAGGATTAGAATTATGTCTATACATAACTATACTTCCTAAACTGGGCTATAGGTCACCAAACCCATGAAGATTCGGGTTAGAATTGGTCTTCAGCAACCCATGCTTTTCGTAATAGGTGACTAACAGGATCGGCTGGTCAGACTCACTCAGGGCTCCAGATAACTTTTGGGGGTGCGAGTGTACTTACACATCATATTGCAAGTGGAGGTGTACTGAGAATTTTAAGGAGTACTGACATGTTTTTGTGTGAGCGAGTTGGTGATGTGGTTTGTCTGGACGATTCATTGATCACTATGTCCAACCATGTATATGTATGTGAAGACGCGTGAGAAATAACTGAGCGACCGTGTGATGCGCGAAATGTCAGGTCCGACTGGATATAAATAGGAACAGTGTAGTTTTTAGCCAATCGAAAAATAGTGACGCATATCGTTGGGAGGGATTCCTACTGTCGGGGTTTCCTCATGTGTCAAATTGTGTTCCGCAAAAGAAACTTGACAAGTATTTATCCGAAATAGATTTCCATTTGCACGATACGCACGGAAATTAAATGTTAGACGTACAAAGGTATTTATGTGCGCAGTGCGTACACGATACCAGGGTTCGACACTCATGCTTGTCCGCTTGCCCGTGGCAAGTACTAATTAATCAGGGCAAGTAAAATTGATAAAAGGCTTGCCCGAGTGGCAAGTACATATTTTTTCAACTTCTAACCTCAATTCATTCATTAAAACTCTTCACTTGCTGTGTTTTGTTTGTCTAGTTCTTTCTATACCATAAGTAACATGGGGCAAGTAGTATCTGTGATGGGCAAGTAGTTTAACTTTTCTACTTGCCCTCTTGGCAAGTGGGAGAAATCAGTGAGTGTCAAACCCTGGATACGCTAGAAATCTTATATTATGTCGTACTTAATTGATTTTGAGGCGTACATTACGCCTGTACGTCCCTTATCTGTAGCCCTGTCACTGAATAGGTCAACACATGTCATCATATCCCAGTTGCATAGATCGATGCACATGCTGTTGATCATTGGATTGTCTGGTCCAGACTTGATTATTTACAAAACATGGCCATAGAGGTGGGATATTGGTGAGTGTGGCGTTAAACAGCAACCAAAGCAAACCAAAGCTATAGGTTACCAGCAGTTAGCCAACTACACTTGGAACCATGGGGCATCATGGTACTTCTGCTACCTGCATGGAACCCTAGCTGGACTTACACCTTTCCTCTGGTTACTGCCAATCACGGGAATAAAGATTAAAACCACAGAGGATGAAAACACTTAGAATGAAACATTTGTTTTCTTGGTTGTTTTAACGCTGTATGGAGGCGGTCAGTAAATAATTGAGTAAGGTCCTGCCAATCCAGTGATCAACATCATGAGCATAGTTCTACGCAATTGTGATATGACGACATGTGTTAGGCAAGTCAGTGAGTTGAGGTGAGGTGAGGTGAAATTGGGTTTTACGTCGTGCTTGAGAATATTTCGCTCATATGACGACGTGCATGCGTGTGTATGTGTATGTGCGGCTGCTTGTACTAGCCCAGACTGAAGCTGGTTTTAGTGCTAGCCCACTGAGATACCATGCCGCAGTGAAGCATGAATACCCCACTCAGACACATTATACTGACTCCAAGCCGACCAGTCCTTGTTGTACCCATTAATGCCGAGCGCCAGGCAGGAACCAACAAGTACCATATTTTAACGTCTTTTGGTATGACGCGGTCGGGGATCGAACCCGCGACCTTCCGCTCTCCGGGCGGACGCTCTAACCACTACACCACGGAGGCGGTCGTCAGTGAGTTGAATGAAATAGGACTTATGTACAATTATTTAATATTACTTCTGTACAATTATTTAATATTACTTCTGTACAATTATTTAATATTACTTCAACCCCCTTTCAAGCTAGAGCTGTTAGCAATCTCGGTTATTTATTTACTCTACCAAATTAAACTTCACTTACTAATAACAATACATAATATCCAAATATATCAGTTGAATAAATTTCTTTAAAAAGAACAAGAGATGAATGAGGAAACTTTGTGACCAGTTGCATCATTCTTGATTCAGGTTAGTCAAGATGCTATTTTTGGTGTGACACACTCAGGGGTGGAAATAACCCATTGCCCGACGTCCGAGTCCAGTGTTTTTTTCTGTCGGGCAAGCAAATTTGTATATCATGCTGTACCGGTGTCCAGTTGACTTTCCAATGTTAATAATGTTATTTATTTAAAAAATCAACAAGAAAACGGACGGTATAGTGGAAAAATTATTAGGGCAAGTGATTTTACATGTGCCACTGTACCGGAGTACACTAGCAATTTTTAAGTTATTTCCACCCCTGACACTCTAAAATATGGATATAATCCGACTGCAAAAAACCCCCCCAACTCTCTCTCCATGAAACATGTGTATTGTACAAAAGGAAGTATTTTCAAAATATCATCCCTCTTAATTTAGCATATTAACACCAAACAGGAAACATGTCTACTTATATAATATGGATCATCATCTATCAAAGGCGATATAAAATGCCGCATTCTGTGAAAGTAAACTTCAGTTTTTTAAATTTCGGCTAAACACTGTACATAACATTATGTCCCTCAAAATGTCACATATATTTATAACTTGGACATGATTTTGTCACATTCCATCAGCTATGTGGAATTACAGTGTACACCAGTTTTGATGTTTATACCTCCATAAACATAAAATAAATCATACCTCCATAAAATTATAAGTTGAGGTGAAGTCAAATTGTCAAATCCATAAACAATAGATCTAGATATTCTTCACCACAGATTCCAACAAAGTTTTAAACAAGTATTAGTACTATTACAGTGGCCATGTAACACATAATAGAAACCGGTGTACAATTGTCAAACAAACTATTGAATGTGTGTCTTGAGGAATTGCCCGACCCAAGCGTCTAATGTCAACATCGAGAATGGGTTGGGCATAATGATTTAGCACAGTGACATACTGTCAGTTTATCAAGGACACTGCACCGATCTATCTATAAATAGTATCATCAAGATAATTATCAAAGTGTTACATGACGTCTAAAAGTGGTTTAAACCATAAACACGTCTCGAACAGCCGATCATGTACCGTCTGTCCTACTTCTCACCGGGGTATCATGTGTACGACAAACAGACCCACCCGTAATGGTGCGATCACACACTGGCCTACAATCATGTCACAATGATAATACGGTCAAGTTACCTTGTGGGAACACAACCGCTGTAAATCCCGAGCTGAGGCTGACAAGCGGTGAACCATCAATTGATCGTGTATTCACACAAGTATCAACACATTGTACCTGTTGTTTTGAAAGGTTAAAGAAATCAACACGTTAAATCTGCATGTAATGCCCTCCGACAACGTTTGTTTTCTCACAGTCACGTGAATTTCAGTTTTTCGCCTTCACTGGCCGAAGAGCGACATTCCTGTATTATTGAGTCCCGAAGACGTAATCGCTTGCGTATATCTGATGATTGAAAGGGGCATAACTGCAAATGGATTGGTATGGCATCAGACTTGAATGGCTGAACAGGAATGTTTTTAAAAACGTGAATTCGGAATATTTTCTTTTCTGTTTTAAAGAATTCTCTACCCTCAGTGATAGTATGTATAACGTTTAGCCCATCTTTTCAAAAGATATTTATTATGCTTTAGATAATTTTAGGCAACATTTCAAGGTCAGCGTGTGAAAACAAATAAACAAGTCTTACATGAACTTCAAAGAGATCATTAGCCTTGAAAGCAACACCGTCTGAACTAGGGCTTTGATAAATTTCACTGTATACACAATGGTGAGATGCTGAGTGAGTGAGTTTAGTTTTACGCCGCTTTTAGCAATATTTCAGGAATATCACGGCGAGGGACACCAGGAATGGGTTTCACGCATTGTACCCATGTACGAACGAGCGAACGCTTTAACCACAATAGGCTACCCATACCGGGGTACATATAGCCGTATAATTTTGACAATTTACTTCCACATAAGCAGTAGTTGCATTATCTAAACGTTCAATAAGTGTACCTGGGATAGAGAGTGGATGTAACAAAACCGTCCACGCCGTTTATTCCCCGTGTAAAAGCACACCCTAAAACAATAGTGAGTGAGAATGGTTTTCGCCCCTTTTAGCAATATTCCAGCAACATCACGACGGGGCACATCAGAAATGGGCTTCACACATTGTACCCATGTGGGGAATCGAACCCTGGCCTTTAACGTGACGAGCGGTCGAATAACCATTAGGATACCACTACCTCCCTGAAACAATACATGATTCAGTAAATATAATGTCATACTATACTATCCATCAAAGGTTTAGACTCACTAGTGTAAATGTAGCCACTTCCTTCAGGCAAGTGTTCTAAACTAGATTTTGCAAAATATTCCATACTGTCATGAGTTCAATAAATGATGAAACTGGCGAATTCCTAACAAAACTTTACACCAAAACACATCTCTTCACATGCGCGATATTTGCACATACTTTTCAGCAATTTCATGCATCCTCGTGCAATTCATCTGCTTAAGGGGCGGTGGGGTAGCCTAGTGGTTAAAGCGTTGGCTCGTCACGCCGAGGACCCGGGTTCGAATCCCCACATGGGTACAATGTGTGAAGCCAATTTCTGGTGTCCCCCGCCGTGATGTTGCTGGAATATTGCTAAAAGCGGCGTAAAACCAAAACTCAGTCAGTCAGTCATCTACTTAAGGTTTGCATGCAGTTGGTTCCCCCAATAATTAGGTAGTTGAGGAATTCATCTTCGATGTAACCACATATGTATACATAGCATATAGTGAGTGCTTTAAGTGATCATGTGAATAACGAATCGCTTGCTTTTGGATTTGATGCTATAGCATTTCTGCATGGTTTTAAATAAGAATGAAGATATATGTGTTTTTTAAACTAAGACTCATTGACACATTCTACTTGAAATGTTCATAGTGAAGACTTGTTGTCGTCACTATATTGCTGAAATATTGCCGATGTAACGTAAAGCCCAACTCAACTAACCTTCAAGTGTGTCTAAACTTTTGATGGGTGGTATATATACATGGTATTGTAACAGAGATGAAATACAAGTCAGACAGATTCTAAAACAAATTAACTATAAGGGGCGATGACTACTTTATCTCATATGAATGACATAAATGTGGTAAGTGTACATGCATCTGAATTAATTCCACATGCCCAGATGGAACAAATGGAGTACACAATATAACATAAACATATGTAATCAATACAGAGTAATTCCTATACCCGCTGTATGGTACTAGGGTGTAGAGATACAGCGCCGCCAAGCCAACCAATCCAAGATGATAAATTTTGTTTGTTTGGTTTGTTGTTTTACGCCGCACTCAGAAATATCCCAGCTTTATGGCGTCGGTATGTAAATAATGGAGTCTGAACCTGACAACCCAGTGATCAACAGCATGAGCATCGACGTACGCAATTGGGATACGATGACATGTGTCAACATGCAGTTCAGCGAGCCTGACCGCCCGATCCCGTTAGTCACCTTTTACGACAAGCATGGGTTACTGTCTCTAACTCCGATCTTTACGGGTTCCAAGATACTTAAGTGTACCTAATCTGTACACACATTATGCAATGTTAGAGTTACGAGACCTAGAAATATATAAATAACATTTCGAAACCTGGGATATAAGCAAAACACCTCCAGCTATATATTATCACATTCATACTTACATTCACATATCTCTTTTCTCATTCATGAAATTGGGCGGTGGGGTAGCCTAGTGGTTAAAGCGTTGGCTCGTCACGCCAAAGACACGGGTTCGATTCCCCACATGGGCACAATGTGTGAAGCCCATTTCTGGTGTCCCCCGCCGTGATATTGCTCGAATATTGCTAAAAGCGGCGTAAAACCAAACTCAGTCAGTCAGTCAGTCATGAAATTGATCAAACGTCCAAATATGCAACCATTCATTCACAGGGAAAAACACATTCACATATCTCTTTTCTCATTTATGAAATGGATCAAACATCCAAATATGCAACCATTCATTCACAGGGAAAAACACATTCACATATCTCTTTTCTCATGCATTTATGAAATTGATCAAACGTCCAAATATGCAACCATTCATTCACTGGGAAAGTGGAAACACTTTTGTTTATACTTCATATTAAATTTTATCTTGTCAAATTCACCAAAAACTGACTAGGGTATTATTTACACTTCTTAGTATAACTTGTCAAAGTACATATATCCATAACATTGTTAATGACTTAAAACCAATATGTACGCGACTGTGAAAATGCAATTTACTGTGGCTGTCACAGATAAGGGGTCGTCCGCCAGAAGGGTAGAAAGCTTCTTTCAAGTTGTAGGATTTCTCTGTTTACAGTAATCGTGATGTTCACACGCCATAAAGTTGGAATTTACGACCCTCTAAATCATAAATATAAGTGAATGTTTCACCACAGCTTCACCATCGGTTAATAGTGCATAGGCAGTGAAGCTGAACCCGTTACAGTTTTTGACTCGTTGTACTACATGTACTTTAGCAAACCCACAGCGCTTCGTACTCCTCGTGTTTGTTTGTTGTTTATGCCGCACTCAGCAATATTCCAGCTATATGGCGGTTGTATAGTATGTACTAATCGATCTTGGACCTGTCAATCACATGATCAACGGCATGAGCATTGATGTACGCACTCGGGAATACTTGCATTTATTACCCACGTGGTCAACGTATGGGTAGTTGCATACTAATCTTGTACGTCACACGAGTGTCGTATCGCGTTGACCTGTGTCGTAACGACTCCACCTGAGATTCTAACGATTTGATTGGATAACCGATGACCTCTCAATTAGGTCACATTCTGACGTAACTATTTATTCATTCATAACAAACACGCGAATTCATTCATTCTACAACTTAAATGCATTGTGGGAATGTAAACATTGCGAACGTTGCCGTGTCGCTGTTTAATTGTGAGTCGAACTGAGATATTATATCCGTCGAAAAAACATGAACGTAATGTTTCCACCAGTGATGTTAGCCAAATGAAGCAACTGGAAACCAAGAAACGGGGTGCTACGGAGTAGGTTACTGTAGGAGGCTGTACGAGGCGATGACAACTGACATGCATAGTGACGTCGGTTACCAAGGCAGTGACGTCATTACAGTGTGACGTCATGCACATATTGTACTACAGTACAAAGCTCTTCCGCAACCTCTTTATGAAACCGGTTTCGGTTTGAAACCCAAAACAACAAATTTACGCTATTTTGTCAATTTAATGCATGTAAGACGTGGGTAATAAATAAAATACCACACTCGGTCTCATTGCATACGAATTATACGAAACTCGTGACCTTCCTATGTTACCTGACCTCGCTTTCGCTCGGTCAGATACCACAGGAAGGACACTCGTTTCGTATAATTCGTATGTAATGAGACCTCGTGTGTAGTATTCTCTATGGATACGATGACATGTGTCAACCAAGTCAGCGAGTCTGACCATCCAGTCCCGTTAGTCGCCTCTTACGACAAGCATGTGTTACTGAAGATCGTTACAAACCCTGATCTCCACGGGTGGACTGAGGTAAGGAAAGCAACCTAAATTAGAAACTGAAATACTTTCAGGCCACAAAATACATTAATCCTGTCAGGACCATAACATCATGCGCCATAAGCGTTGTAATTCGTTTAGGTTGTTCGTAATGGTTTCTTTCAAATTCAATAGTTCATTTCAGTTATATTTCAGTTTCTAATTTAGGTTGTTTTCCTTACCTCAGTCCATTCGTGGACTAACGGGATCGAGAGGTCAGACTCGCTGACTTGGTTGACATAATATTGTGTCATCGTATCCGAATCCAAAGTGCGTAGATAGAGGCTCGTGCTGTTGATCACTGGATTGTCTTGTCCAGACTCGATTATTAACAGACGGCCGCCATTTAGCTGGAATATTGCTGAGTGCGGCGTAAAACTAAACTCACTCACTCACTTATAAGATTAGTCTAACGGTTAACGGTGGTCAGGATCCTTACTTGGTTAATGCATATAATCGCCTCTCAGTAGATCAATCCTCATGATGTTAATCACTGGATTGTCTATTCCAGATTCGATTATATTTACATACTAAAGCTGGCATATTACTGAGCTTGGAAAAAAGGACACACGAAAAAAACAACAACATCAACGACGACGACGATAAAAAGATAGGTTCCGGCACTCTACACGTTGATTGTGACTATGTCCACCAACACTGGCATAATAAATACAACATATTTGATTATTTTAAAGCGTGGATCACTTTGAGAAGATATAGCTTGTACGTCGGGCCACGACCTCGATTTC